TACTTCTGCTTATTCTGTCTTGTGATGTTCAGGTCTTGCTGTTGGAGGAGGGCTAGGTTCTGGTGATGCTGTATTGCTCTTTATGTTGCCTTGATGTCTGCTCATCTCCTCTTCTAATGGGTATAAGTGGTGCCTGTGTCTGAGTGAGTTGCTGTTGGTCCAATCTGTGCTTGTTGTGTCTGTGTCTCAGGGGGCCTTCTGGGTCCAATCTTAGCTCTTGGTCTAATTGGAACAGGCAGATTCTGTGTCTCAGGGAGCTGCTCTTGGGCCAACCCAAGCTAGTTAATTCTGTGAGTCACAGATGCTTTTATGGTCTTCTCAGGACTCTTGGTCCAGTCAGAGCTGACTGATTCTATGTTTCAGGAGGCCTCTCTTGGTCCAATGAAAGGTAGCAGATTCTACTTTTCAGAAACCCACTCTTGGTCTAATGAGAGCTGGCAGATTCCCTGTCTGCTGAGGTTACTCTTGGTCCAATGACAGCCCTTTGTCCAATGAGAGCTCTCTCTCTCTAGCCCAGAATAGAGCTGAGGGTTGGTTTCCAAGCCTCAGGAAATGGCTGGGGAGTCAGGCAGATAGGAAGGGGAGCAGGGTGTGAAGATTGCAGGGTCAGCTCTCAAGTCAGGGTCTCTCATTGAGCTCTACCAATCCTGGGCAGTCCACAGAGCCACCTTGCCTGGGGATTCCATCTCTGCTCTCTTGTTTATACAGAGGTGTTTTGATTTCATATCCTTGGAAAGAGTTTCTATGAGTCTATGTGGCTGTGTATTACTCCTCAGCTCTGTTGCTGTGGGGAAGTGTAGTATAATATGCAGCTCCCTCTCCTCTAACTGATAGCATGTTTCTTAGCAATCCTTCTTCTTTGCAGATTCTGCACATTGCATATTGCTTTAAATTGTTTCCTGTGCCATATAGCTATAAATAATTCAACCATGTATTTTCTAATGATATTTCCTGTAATTTCTCTTTCTGTTCCTTTAAAACTTATTTTGGGGCCTGGAGAGATGGCTCAGCAGTTAAAGAGTAGATGCTCATTGCTACCTGTAACTCTAGCCTCAGGGGATCCAACACTCACTTCTGGGCTCTGCTGCCATTTATTTGCACAAACCCACATACAGACGCACAGGTACACCTCAGTAAAAATCACAACATACAAACAAAAACAATAAAATAGATCTTAAAAAAACCAAGAAAAACCCTAACGCCTTGTTTTTAATATGATGTGAGATTGCATCTTAACATTAAAATCCAAACAAAAAATACTCCTAGGTGTGCTGGTGAATACTTTGCAATGGCAGCACTTAGGAAGCTGGGACAGAAGGATCAGGAGTTCACAGACATCCTAGGGTACATACCAAGTTCAACACTCTCAACCAACCAAAGCCAGGGGTGGTGATATATGCCTAAAATCTAATAATTTGGAGTTTGTGGGTGGAGGCAGGAGGATCAGGAGTTGGAGGCCACCTTTGGCTATACATTGAGCTTGAGGCTAGCCATAGTTATATGACACCCTTTCTTAAAAACAAAGAGCAAAGCCTGTCTGTCAACACCAGCCCAGTGTGGGAGCATATGCTTGTCATCCAGCACTCAGGGCAAAGGCAGGAAGACAGGAATTTGAACCAGACCCAAACAGAATAGAATC